GTCAATGAGGGGGCACACAACACGCCCACTCTTAACTGCCTTTGCTAGAACCAAAATACATCACTTCCTCTTCCTAGGTGGGAAGAGGCTGGATTGTGCCCTAGAACCCTGTGCTCTGGAAGGAGAAAGGATTCCCAACACCTACCCTGTCTCTGCTGTGGTCCCTGATGTGTCCCGTGGCTGTCCTAGGGGATTAACTCTCTCTGGCAAGCCACTTAAGAAGGGCTGGTGAAGCCAGGTACAGTGGCACACACCGGTAACCTCAGCTTCTTAGAAGGGAGAGGTAGAAGGATCACAAATTCCAGGCTGGCTGGGCAACTTACAAAGACCCTGTCTCAAAATGAAAAATAGAAAGGGCTGAGGGTGTAGCTCAGCAGTAGAGCACTTGCCTAGCATGTGTGAGGCCCTAGGTTCAATCTAAGGGGGCACTTATTTATTTATATATTTAATGATGAAATTTGAATGCTATCTGCAGGCATTTTTCTAAAGTCATATTCTCCAAGTTGGCAGACACAAGCCTCACGTTTCATTAAGCACTTAAAAAGTATATCCACACTGAAAAGTGCTGCAAATGTAGAAGAAATACTCAATTTCAAAGATTTATTATGATGTAAAAATGTACAATTGTTTTCATTTTTGTGATGCTGGGGATGGAACCCTGCGCCTTCACACTGGACTACATCCCCAGTCCTTTTTTACTTTTATGTTTTCTTTTGAAGCAGGGTCTCACTAAATCCCTATGTTACCCGGGTTGTTCTTGAATTCAGGATCCTCCTGCCTCAGCTTCCTGGAGCGCTGGGATTACAGACATGTGCCTGACTGTAAAATATTAATAAGTTTTAAATTAATTACATGTTAATGACTGTATTTGGATAGATGGTGTTAAATTGGGTTGACAAGATTTCTCTGTAAAGGACCAGATAGAGAATATTTTCAGCTTTGTGGCCCATCTGACCTCCATCATGTAATTATTCACTTGTATTGTTACAGTACAAAAGCAGCCACAGACAGCGCAAAAACAGGTGGGCTGTGTTCCAGTAAAATTTTACTTAAAAAAAAAACAACAGACAGACGGGATAGATTTGATCCTCAAGATATAGTTTGCCAATTGCTGGGTTACATTTATAAAAATATTAAAATTTATTTCACTTTTTTTTAAACTATAAAAAAATGTGGCTGCTAGATTTCAAATGACCCATTGGATCACTGTGTTTATACTAGACAGGGCTAAACCAAACGTGTTACCAGTATTAACTCTGGAGTTAAATGTTACCCTGGAAGAGTGCTGTGTGAGGGTATGTGCGCACGTGGGCACACACACACACAGACACACACACACGAGTTACCATGCCTGGCCTGCGTATCCATTGCTAAGTATGGAGCCCTAGGGCGGATGGGTTCCTGGCTACTTCTGGCAGGTCTTCTGGGTTTTCCATGAGACCAAAGGGAAGTTCACTGAGAGACCACCAGGTGGTGCTACCAGACCACATGCTCTGCTGGGTGACCTACGAGAAACCATTCTGTGACTGCAATGTTTTCGCTGTGTGGCGTTGGCCTTCAATTTCCTCACCAGTAAAGTGAGGCTAGAGGGCTAGACTAGATTAATGAGAGCTTTGTCTTTTTTTTTTGTCTTTCTGAGAGAGGGTCTAGCTATGCAGTTCAGGCTGGCCTTGAGCTCACTTTGTAGCCCAGGCTGGCCTCGAACTGGCAACAATCCTCCTGCCTCAGCCTCCCAGGTGCTGGGATTACAGGCGTGCGCCACCACGCCCACCTGGCCAATGAGAACTTTGGAGCAGACAGACCAGATTTTGATTCCATCTCTACCGCCACCCACTATGATTTTCATGGGCCCTAGGTACTTTTGACAAGGCCCTTTCTCCATCAAAAAATATTAAAAAGTATATTTTATAAAGAAAACATACCAATGTTGTATATTAATATTTTTCTTCAACTAAAAGTTATCATTTCTGTAACCCCTAACATTACTGTGGGCCCCAGGCACTGGGCCTACCATGTCTGACGGGTGAGTTGGCCGGGCTCTGCTATTCAGCAGCCATGGGAGCTCAGGCAGGTTGCTGAGCTTCTTGGGGCCTCACTTTCCTCTGTATAACATGGGGATGGCATTGGACTGCAGCTCTTAGTGCTGGCGTTGGGGCTTAGTGAAAAGGTACAGGTCATGCCTTCTTAGAACACGGTCTGGAGCAGAGCAGGCCTTACAAACAGCAGCTTTTATCTGCTATGTTTGTCTTTAAGGCTACTTCCACCCTAATCTCTATAAAATAATGAAAAGGTCTCAAAATATGCAGGAACCTCAAAGCAAATGACTCAGAAAAACAAAATGAAGCTCCCAGGGTATTTGGTGGGGAAAGTAAAGAGTTTCTGGGGAATAAAGGGAGCAGAAGTTTTCACCAATGATGAACACATCCTCCTTCCCACCATCAGGGAACCCAGGAGGAGCAGGGACATAGGTGGTGCTCCCCAGCCAAAAGCTGAGCCACCTGATGAACATGTGCTAAGCAAAGGGACCCCGGAGGAAGAGACATATGTACCTCTTCCATGTGTGTGTGCATGTGTCTGTTTTGGTATACACATATTCTTGCTTCTTTCCATTCCCTTCATTGGACTGTGGTGACCTGCTCTTTGAAAATGTGGCCTGTGGATGTATGCCGTGGGAATTTTGGCCCCTTCTGGACTGTTAGGGAGTCTTTGGAGATTATTCAGGAATTCCAGCTCCTTCAGGGTCACTAGGAGACTTGGCCACTGGTGCAAGTGTGAGCCTCTCTCAGTGACTCTGCTTCCCACCCACACACCCGCCGGGGCCCAGTGCCTTTTCTTATTTTGGGAGGGACAAGGATGTGACCTCCATTGGTTGCCCTTCACTGGTTTGGCAACTGCCCTTTATCCTTGCCTTCTCCAAGCCAAAGGAGAGATGTGAGCCAGGGCTGCTGACTCAGAGAAGGGAGGGACAGAAGGGACAGGGTGAAGGTCACTGGGAGGGTTTCTACACTGGAGCCAAGGAAAAGGATATAACAGGAAGAGGTGCAGCAGAGGAGGCTGTAACAAGGACTGGAATCAAGGTGTGTCCGTCTCTCAAAGCTCATTTGCCAAAATACTTGCTGCAGTGAATGACAAAGCAGTGGAACCTTGGCATGGCAACAATTCATTTTAAATAATTCAGGGAGAGCACTATATACCCAAAGGCTTAAAGCTGCCCACCCATGACAGAGCAAGTCCTACAGGTAAATATATGCTTCCATTTAGTGAGGGCTCATTAGGTATCAGCCACTCCAGGCTTTACCTCCACCACTGACCTAAACTTTACCTATAAGGTAGATTCTCCTACTCTTACTTTATATACATAGAAACTGAAGGTAAGTAGCCAGCCTACTCCAGGGCAGCCAGTAGATAACAGACTATAAATCTAAAGTCACCATGCTGCCAGCTATGGTGGCACATGCTTGTAAATCCCAGAACTCAGGAGGCTGAGGCAGGAGGACCACTGTGAGTTTGAGGCCAGCCTGAGCTACATAGTGAGTTCAGGGCCAACCTGAACTGCAAAGTGAGACCCTGTCTCAGAACAACAATAGCAACAAATAAAGAAAGAAAGTCATCATACTATCCATCTTCTCACTAAGGATGGCTGGGAAAATAAGTTCAAAGTCTGGTCCTCAGTGTACCTTCCTTGAACACACCCAAACATGAGTTAGACGAGGTTGCTTGTTAAAATTGCAAGTTCCTGGGCCCTGACCTAGCTCTGCTGAGACAGACTGGGCATTCAGAGCCTAGGAGTTCGCATGGCAACTCGTTTCCGAAGCTTAGAGTGTACACTAAGTTTCAGGTCCTCAGGACAGAGCCAAGGCTGAAAGGACGAGTGTGACCAGGGCTCGGTCCCCTCCCCAAAGCACTGGAGTTTCTCACTCTGACCAGACCAAGTGACCCGGATGTGTGGCAGGTTTGCAGCTATGTTAGTTTGTGACAATGAGGACAACCCCGTCATGTGCCTCTTACTCGGCACAATTTTCCAGGCTGCCAGGTGGCAGACGCCTGTGGAGCAGAGGTACATCCTGTTCTCTTGTTGAGGAGGAAGCCACAGGGTGTCAGGTCATGCTGACTTCAAGTTACAGCCCTGAGCACTTAGTGGCAGCTCACCTTCTCCGTGCGTCCTCTCCCAGCAGAGGTCCAGGTCCAGCGGCCAGGGCCCTTGCCATGCTGGCTGGTGGAGATTTCAGTGCTTTGGGGTAAAAGAATGACCTTCCCCCTCCAGAACGAGCTCACTTGTGAATTGCTTGCTTAACCACTTTGGGCCTTGGAGACTGGAAGTTTTCCTGGGACAGTGAGTCCTGCCTTAGAAGAGGGGTGAATGGGTGACAGAAATCTTAACACCCTTGCCATCTCCCCCTAAAATCTGGGAGATGAATGGGGCAAGAAAACCTCAACAAAATCTCAGAGGTGAATTGGATGTTTGGGGAAGATGTTCTCCCCAGCTTACTCAGGGCCTTTTGGGTCTTATTCTTTCAGTCAGATGCTACATAATTTCAGATATCAGGCTGCTATGGTCAGGATCTGGAGTCTGCCCCATCATCTCATGGTTTGGTTAAAAACTCTGTCCCCAGCTCACAGGGCTATTAGGAGGCAGTGGGACCTTTAAGAGGTGGAGCTTAATTGGAGGAAGTTCCGGTCATGGGGCTGTACCTTCCAAGGGCCACTGAGATCCCACACCTCCCTGTCTCTCCTTGCTTCCTAGCCACCGTGAGCTGAGTGCCTTTGCTCCAGCTCTCGCCCTCTACCATGACATCTGTCATCATGGCCACAGGGCCAAAAGCAGTACAGCCAGTTTGCCAGGGGCCGTCAGCTCGGAGACTGTGAGCCAAAGGAAACTTTCTTCCTTTTAAGTTGACTTATCTCAGATCATTTGTCACACCAAGGGAAAACCGGTTAATACTTTGTGATCTCTTTTTCTTGATGTACTAAGGGAAAAGAAGACAAAACAAAACCAGAAGCAGAACCATGCACATAGTGTGCCACACTTTGTATTTGTCAAGGTTATCTGTGGTGCTTTTTTTTTTTTTTTTTGGTACCGGGAATGAAACTCAGGACTTTAACACTTGCCAGGCAGGTGCTTGTGCCGCTGAGCTCTATCCCCGGCCCTTACGGTGCTTGTTTACGCACAGGTTTTCTGCAGAAGACCACAAGCTGGGTAGAAGTCTCTTTCCGAGACAGGAAACCAGAGGATGTGTCAGGGCGTGGGAGTCTTTTTTGCTGCTGCTTCTTCAGTACTGTGTGTACATTTAAGCCATGCTCATGTCCCGCCGGAGCCGAGAAGCAATGTTAAGGAAAATACACAAAAATGGGCACATTTTTATGCAGGCCAAATGGTGCGGTGTTGCCGGATACATAGAAGTTGCAGGAAAATAACAAAATCTTTTGGCTTCAGTCAGCCAGGGGAGACTGCTTCACATTAGACCTGCAGGGAGCTCTAGCGCCAGCCCCGTGACTAGTTAAACGAGGTCAGTGTGGTAATGCAGGCAGACAAAATGGGACTAGGGCACGTAGTTCAGGCTCTGGGGCAGAGTAGGGCATGGGGCAGAGCCAAAGCCCCAAGGGAGGGCAGACACGGGCGGGGCAGGGAAAGCCAGAGCCGGTCCCGCTCTTGCGGATAGGGTGAGCTGCCAGACGGTGGAGCCTTCATGGTGAGGGAGTCCTGAGGGGTCCTCGGCGGGGTAGGAGTGGTCAGAACGGAGCGTCACAGGGTGACACTGGTGGCTCCTGGGCTGGCTGGAGGAGGACAATCTGGAGGCAGGCAGGCCAGGTGGGAGTGGCTGTGACCCTTCAGCAGTGTGCGCTCTCTTGGTGGCCTGGCCTCAGACAGAAGAGGCAGAGTTAGAACAGTTAACTGTCCCCTAAGGGGGCAGCTGGGGCCCTGGTGCTTCTGCTCACTTCCTGGGGGTAGATCTTCTCGTGAGGACGGCAGGCTGGTGTTCGTCCTCCTATGGCCTCTGCTGTGGCATAGTCGGTAGGGAACTAGTGCCAGCGCACGTGGGGCTCCGGCTCCAGTGCCCAAGCCTTCTTTTTGGACTTCAAAAGCCAAGGTGTTCTTTTGGGCAGTCCAGAGGAGGTAGGAGCCGGGAAGGATAACAGAAGACTCTCCTTCCAGTGTGGCTAAGGCAGAATGAACTCAAGTGGAAAATAAAAGCGACCGGACCGGTTTTCTTTCCTGAGAGTACTGGGAGCAGTTGGTACTGTTAGAGCCATTTTATTTAGTGGCAGGAGAGGGTTAATAGAATGGCGCCCTTGTGTCTAGGAGCGGTTGGCCTTCTTTTTCTTCTTCGGGGGAACAGATTTTTTGTTGGTGGTGAAGGCCCTTGCAGACTTTAGTTTAAATTCAACTGGAAAGTGGTCGCTGACCTCCAGCGCCTGTAAGGAGAAGGGTAGGTAGATGTGGGTTTAGGAGATGCCTGGGGTATGCTGGCATTTTAGTGACGAGCAAACTCAGGAACAGGGAGGGAAGATGAAAGGCCCGAAGTCACTCAGCAGATTAGTGGACATTATCCTTGGCCAGACTCAATCGGATACTTTGGCAGGTGCCTGAGGCAGGAGAATCATGAGTCTGAGGCCAGCCTGGGTGGCATACAGCAAGTTCAAGAGTAGCCTAGACTACACAGTGAGACCTTGTCTTAAAAAAAGAAAAAAAAAAGAAAGAAAAATTTTGGCAGGTTCTCAAAATGCAGAATCACAGTTAATAGTTACTGAGACTCAAGGTTCAGGGTCCAGTGTGGGGTCTTTGATGCTGACCTCCACGAGGGACAGCAGCTCACCTTTCCAACGTGGTGGCACAGAGGACAAAACGGCAGCCTTACCTCCTCTTCAGACAACTGGTAAGCCTTCTGGAAGTCAAAGACGCCGTTTGATCCGGGAACCACAGACTTGACGATCTCTTGTCCTCGAAGCACGATCCTGGAACAAGGGGAGGAAAGGCAGTTGTGTTAATCCACGCTCTTGACTTCCTGAAGTCGGACCCAGGCCTGGGTTTGCGATCCGGAAGCGCCTGAGCAGCCTAGCTGTTCCACATGGGCTCCAAGTCCATGTCTGGCTCCAGCTGGCAACCCCAGGGGACAGTTCCTGCAATTGCAAAGGAGAATCCGGGCCTGCCGTGGCCCTGTGGGCAGAGGACAGTGTCGCGGTGTGGCCGTTGGCCCTGGAGGTGGAGAGCAGACATCAGACAGCACAAGGACACCGCACCATGCAGCAACAACACGCACACTGAGCGCATCGTGCCCTTTGGGTGCTCTTCCACTCCTCTGAGAGATTATGGAGAAATTCTCTTATCCTGAGTACCTCCCTAAGCCTCCGTTTTGACAAAGACAGAGCAAGCATCCTGCAGGCCAGAGAAATAAGGAAGAATCGGACAGTTTTCACTGGGCTTCTTTTTAATTTCTTTGATTTATGGCAAATTACACTGTTTATTTGTTTTTTTGAGACAGGGTCTCGCTATGTTCCAGGCTGGCCGGAAACATGCTCTCCTCCTGCCTTGGCCTCCGGGAGTGCTGGGATTACTGATGCGCACCACCATGCCTGGCTGCGGTGCTGTTCTCTTACTGTAATGTCATCCTTTAACAATTAACTTACTTCAGTGAGAAATTAGTGGGTTTAAAAAAAAAATAGAGAGAAAACAATACAGTCCAGACACTTGGCGGTGATGACACCACCTGGGGATGTGGCAGCCAGATGGGTTTTGGAAACGGACTCTACTGGAGCTCCGCGGGCAAGCAGGTGGGGCCCACATGGCCCTGGCTGCCTGCCCGAGGCATGCAGAGCGCCCCACCCTGCCTTTCTGTGCCTGTGTCCTGAGTTGTTCTGATTCTGAGTTTGTCAACGCCACCATGTGGTTTGTTTTTGCTGTTGTTGCTGTTTTGTTTTGCAGTGCTGAGGGCTGAACCTAGGGCCTTAGGCCTTAGGCCTGCTAAGCAAGCGCTGTACCGCTTAGGCCTGCTAAGCAAGCGCTGTACCGCTGGGCCACACCCCAGACCTTTGGCTCCTTTTTTACTCAGCCCAAATGTAAGCTCTTCTTTGCATTAAATTGGAGACTCATGCAAGCCATTTTTAAGGGTCAGAGAGCAAAAAGCAATATATCTAAGGCTGCTCAGTTCTGACTTCTCCAGCATGAGCACGGGTCTGCTCTCAGGTTACATTTTCCCAGGCCAGGCCAAGGCACAAGCCAGGCAGGGCCTGGGGGTCTTTCATATCCGCCAGCACTCAGCATATGTAGATGTTCAACAAATATTTGGTCCAGGACAAGAACTGGAATTGAGACCATCTTGTCTAGGTCCATTTTTGAAACATTTGTAAACCCCAAGAATTACACATGTTGTTGTAGAACACAGAAAATTCAGAGCATTAAAATAAGAAACTAATGTTTAAAAAAATCTGTGTATTTCCCTATCCTTGGCATATAATGGTTACAGAACCGGGGAAACGTGTTCTTAACCTGTTCCTCCATGGGCATCTTTTCTGGAGATCAGCTGTTCTCCTGTATCATTATTTTCCATCAGTCACATCTCATTCACAAGGAGAACAAGGCACATGGAGAAGGGACTGTACCTGCCAAGAGGCCAGAACGGGAAAGTGCCCGGATGGAACGGTGTCTCCCAGCACGCCTGGAGGCCTTTGGAGTGGAGGGGTGGGGGGTGAAGGGAAGCCTGGGGCTTGGCCTCCGGTAACTTTCTACCCTGGGCTTCCACTTTCAATAGTTAGAGCAGTGACATCTGCAAAGGCAACTCCAGCTGTGAAAGTCCCAAGAGGAACATAAGAGGCCAGGGGATGGAAGCGAAAGCCAGGCCTCGAGGGGTGAGAAAACAGCGAGGAGGCCAGCTGTTCTCCTGCAGCAGGCTGAGCTCTGAGCTGTGGCCGCCTGGAGCCTGGACTCCCAGGGACTTCTCTGCCTGTAGCTGCGTTCTGCTGACTCCCACCACTTCCTTCTCGATTCAAGGAGCAAAAGTGAAAGTGTTTGAAAACCCCCAGCGAGACTTGGAAAGTACAAGGGAATGCTATTGCTTGAATGTATCCTTTGAACTTAGGAATGGGTAGCAGAAGCTTTGAAAGTATAAATGACCTTGCACTCACTGCTCTCATTTTTATGGCTGTACCCGGAGGAAATAATAAATGTTTGCCAAAAATACATGCACAAGATGTTCACTTCCACAGTATAAGAGCAAACCCTTGATAGTAACCGATAGGGACCGGGTGAATAAGCCCCAGTACCTCATTGTGAGAGGAGAGACAACAGCCCAAGGGTGTACTGAGAGCTGACCAAACATTCACTGTGCTAGCAGCTTTTGGGTAACACATAGACTACTTCATTTAATCCTCTTCATAGCTCTGTGACTGAGGCTGTAGTGCAGCCTCTAGTTTATGGCGAGGAAATGAAGTCACAGAGATCGTATGTGTCTTGGCCATAGACCAGGTAAGGGGCAGAGTCAGGATTTGACACTGGGCCTGTTTGACGCCAGAGCCAGTGCCGGCCACCGCTAGGCTCTGGCGCTCAGGGCCCTGCCTTGGGTCAGGCAGTTCTGCACTGTGCAAGGTTCCTGACGCAGGGGCCTTGAAATGCAGCTGACGCCGCCCTCTGCGTTGGCCTGAGCTTCGCCCACCTACAGGCCCCGTGCGGCCAGAGGCCCTGCAGAGAGCCTACCTGTCATAGGCACAGCTGGTGCTCTTCTTGACCGTGGTGTCCTCGTCATCTGCAATCAGCCATACGAACTTGGGGTCGGTCCTCAAGCGAATGTCCTTCCAGGCCTTCTTGGGGACATAGCTGCAGCCAGCGTTGAAGTCACCCATGAAAATGAAATTCTGAAAGACGTGTTTTGGGACTGTCACTTGGAGGGTGCTGGTGTACACTGCTCCCTCTCAGGACTTCAGCAATGACTCCATCTCCCATGCCCAGGAAATAAGGGGACCTTTTATTACCCGAATGGTGCCCCACTCCAAATTCATATGTTGAGGTCCTGACCTCCAGTACTGCACTGTATTGTATTGTAGAATGTGACTGTATTTGAAGATAGGGTCTTGAAGGAGGAAGTTAAGGTAAAATGACATCAGGTGCGTGCCCTAAGCCAATAGGATAAGTGTCCTTATAAAAACAGGAGGGGCTGGAGATGAGCTCGGTGGTGAAGCGCTCACCAGTGCTCATCCTCCCTCCTTTCCACCCCCAGCACCACAGGAAAAAAGAGAGAAAAGGGAGATTAGGACACAGACAGACACAAAAAGGAGGCGATGTAAGGTTATCATAAGAAAATGACCATCTAGCTGGGTATGGTGGCTCACTCTTGTAGCCCCAGCACTCAGGAGGCTGAGGCAGGAGGGTTGTGAGTTTAACACATTCATGATAGGGCCATGATTTGGATGTCTTGCTGCTGGCCAACTCTGATTTGAATGTGTTACGCTCCTGCCAGCTTGAACCACCGGTGGTACATGCATGACTGTCCCTTGGGGCAGCATGGGGCAGTCCGATTGGGTGACACAAGCTGATGAGACAGTCATGTAGGTACTACCAGTGGTTCAAGGTGGCAGGAACAAGTTAAGGTCAGTCTAGGTTACATAGCAAGAACCCCAGACCCTGTCTCAAAAAAGAAAAAGGAGGAGGGAGGGAGGAAGAGAGAAAGAGGGAATGAGAGAGGGAGAGAGAAAAGAGGAGAAGAGGAGGAGGGAAAGAAGGTAAAGAGAAAGGAGAAGAGGAAGGAGAAGAAAAAGAGGAGGATGCAGAGGAGGAGAAAGAGAAGTGGGCGGGGCAGAGGGGAAGGGAGGGAGGGGGAGGGCTGTCTGACAGTCTGCTAGCCAACGAGAGAGGAGTCCCAGAAGGCACCAAGCCAGCTCACACACTTTGACCTTGAACTTCCCACCCACAAACGTGAGAAAAGCCTTTGTATCATTTAATCCACCCAGGTTTTGCCACTTTGGTGCTGCAGCCCTAGCAGATAAACAGAGGGTCTCTCTGAATTTTATTCTAATTGTAAAAGAAGAGGCCACAGTTTACAACCAAGTCCAAGCTTCGAAGACTATCTGGCAGGTGACTACAAAGAACGTTTTTTGTTTAGTTGGTTGGGTGTTTTGTTTGTTTATCTGTTTTTGTGTTAGAGATTGATCCGAGGGCCTTCACACAGAGCTACATCCCCAGCCCTCCTTTATGTTTTATTTTGAGGCAGGATCTCACTAAGTTGCTCAATTCCCCGGGCTGGGCCTAAACTCTCAATCCTCCTGCCTCGGCCTCACAGAGTGCTAAAATGGTGGGTGTGCCCCACCACGCCTGGCCCGGACATTTTCATAACCAGCCTGGGTTAGAATTGTGTTCTTAATACAAAGGAGGGCGTTTGCTCCACTGCCCTGTCCTGTCCTTAGTCACCATGTCTCTGTAATTCAGCATGCAGAAGGAGGAGGGAATACAAGAACCGAGCCAAGATACTCCCTCACATCTTTTGTCCCTGCCTCAAACTACTGCGGCTATAAACATATGGATGAATCAACACCTTTGTTTCCAAGCAGGAAAAATGTACTTGGGTGGGGTACTGACAGCTTTGGCACAAGTCTCTCCCTCTCTCCTATTATTCTGAGGCTGGAAACTTAGGCCTGTGGAGATCTTGTCCCAAGGAAGTGGGAGAAGTCATAACGGGAGGAGCTGCAGGGGAAGATGTCCGTCCCCACCCCAGGCCACCAACAGAAAGTTGCTATCTTGGAATTATTTCTCCCTGTAGGGCCCTTGGAACAGAATTTATAACATTCCCCAAAGCAGAGGAAGCGCCAGATTTCCTTGTTTGTGCTCTTGCTTGGGGTGGTTGCTGGCTTCAGGATGTTCTTCAAGAGCATGTCATCCTGACCTCAGTGATCACGGCTTCCTCCGAGACTGACGGGTACAGTGGAGGCCAGGATGTCTCCCTGAGTGACCACCCAGCTTCCACTAATACAGGCACAATGTGCTGAGCTTTCACGGAGTGCCCAATCCCACATATGATGGAGTTGATAGAGTTTAAGTCGTACCTCACAACAGGAAACTCTAGAAAGTAGAAAGCACCATGAACCATGAACCATGGACCATGAACCATGAACCATGAACCATGAACCATTAACCATTAATTGTGTTGCCTCATCCAGGTCGTTCAAGTAGTGAAGTCAAGAATGAAACCCAGCCTGCCTCACCTAACGGTCCCTCTGTTCACCTTTGGGTCACTGCCCAGGGATGGATGCCCAATAGAAGCTCAAAATATTCTTGAATGAATGAATGATCTCATAATTTTTAGGATGAATGAACAAGACTTTCTCCTTCCCCATCTCTGGCCAACTGAGTTCACCCTTTACTCATTTTGTACACTGGGCAGCGGAACTGAGGAGGCGGAAGGGGATCCCGGGAGTCACACTCCAAAAGGAGAAGAGAGGAATTTTGAAGAACAGCCCTCTGCAGCACTTCTGCATTGCCAAGCGCTCCCACAGACCCCAGCGCCACAGGTGGTAGCGCCTGTCTTCCGGATGAGGAAATAAGGCAGGCCCTCGCGGTGGCAGGCATCACTTGCTCCTCCTTGTCATCAGCCAGTTTGAGAACCTGCCACTTGCCCCTGAAACACTCCTGACCTCTCTATGCCTCGCTCTTCCCAGCTGCAAAGTGGGCTGAAGGCAGGCAGTTACCTTGTGGGATTATTAGGGGGCTGAAATACACTTGTCCATGTCAAGCCCCACGCGGTTCCTGGCACCAGCCAGTCACTCCATAAATGCTGGCATCTGTCATAAATGGTGCAGGGTAGGAGTCCTGAGACCCACTGGAGGGCCCCAGGCAGCTAGCAAGAGGGCCGGCGAGGCTGACAGGCCCAGGTAAAGCTGTGGAGTGGTGGTGGTGCGCGTGTGTCCTGCTCCTCGCCTTCCTACTCAAGGACCAGCTTCTGCCTCTGCTCAGAGGACTCACCTCCGCCTTCCACCGGCGTTGCAGGTCCGTGTAGACGTCCACCAGCTCGTCTATCTCTTTCACGGAGTCCTCAGGGGTGGTGTGCAGGGGAACAATCACGAAGTCCTTGACAGCTGATAACAGGGGAGCAGCAGAGGTCACACACTCCCTGTCCACTTCCCACAAGTACTTTGTGAGGAAATAAGTTCTCCTTTCTGAACATACGGGCTACATCCTGCAGGCCGCTGGTCCAACTGTGGCAGAGGTCTTAGAGGCCCTAGGATCACTGAGCCTTTTTAGTTTGTTATTTTTGGTTTTTGATATTGGGTATCACTAGGTAGTTCGGGCTGGCCTTGAACTCACTATGTAGCCCAGGTTGGCCCTGAACTTTCGGTAGTCCTCCTGCCTCAGCCTCCCGAGTGCTGGGATTACAGGCATGTGTCACCAGGCCTGGTTGGGTCACTTGCTTTCAGTACATTAAATATTTTCTCCCACTTGCCCTTCACAACCAAGAAAAGGCTGGTAGACAGTGTTCCTTGCTGGTGGTGTGGGGGTGTTCTATTTTCTCTCTTTTTATTTTTGCAAAACT